GAGACTTAGGTGGATTTTCTGTGTCCTGGCTTTGGCCTGACTTAGCCCAAGCTGTTGCAGGCATCTGGGGAGTGAACCAATGAATGGAAGATTTCGCTACCTCTCTGTGTCTCCCTCTCTCTAACACTCTGCCTCCCAAATAAATCCATGTGTCTATGAGTGTGTATGTGTGTTAGTAAATAAAAATGACAGTATACACATCTTTTTTGAAATCTGTGTCCATTCTTTAATCTTATAGGTTGCTCACTTAGAAGAGGAGAGAATACATAAAATTTGATTTTTATTGGTTTATTTATTTACTCTATTTTTGTGTCTTATCATCCTATAGAAATATCTAGGAGGATATCAAGTTCAGTAGTCATAGTGTTCACCATCTGTTTCCAAAGTGAGGAATACGCATCATATTATACCTTCATTTATATACATGACTTTGTCTGCTAGGTCCAAACTCAGGGGAAAGAGGTAACTGTTCTCTTTGCAGATAACGCGCTGCTAAAATTATACTTTCTATATTCCATTTCCTTGTATAATTTTTCTTACCACCCCTTTTTCTTGGTACCTTAATGTACTTATTGCAACAACCTTCTTGATGTAACAAAATATGGAACTTCTCCATCAGGAAAGGTTGGTTGGGGTTTTTTTTGTTTGTTTATTTTAGAAACTAAATATTGTTTTGCTTTCTTTAGTAATTTTTTCCATTCAGATCTGATCCATTACAGAAGCGAATGAAAGTAACCAGAGACTCTTAAAACACCGAAGTGAATCACAGCAATCTCACAAATTTTGTTGGGAGCAATAAAAATTTAACAATAATGTGAATTATCCATATACTAGTGGCTTCATACATATGATTTCATTTACATTTTACCAAAAGCTTTAGCTGTGTTGAAGATGACTGTGACAATGACCATTCTTCTTGGACAGACAAGGAAACTCTCTCAGAGTGGCAAGTAAGCTGACCACAAAGATAAGAAGCCTCGATGTGTGTTCTCTGGCCACTTTGGTGCATGAGGTTTAAAATAGGTTTTTGGTGTGATCCTACGGGTTTTGGTAAAACCAGTATGAGTTTGGTGAATGTGATTATTAACTTGTTATACTTTCAATGGTTTCCTGTCCTACAAGAATATAATCCTAATCAAGGATCACTATCTGCTATGCCATAGGCCCCAAATAGCCATGAATTTATTAAAGTGATTTGCTCAGGAGATTTTTTTTTTTCATCTTCTGCAATGTTCTACTAAAGTAAAAACTTAGAAGATGAGCACATATCAAGATGATGTTGTGGCCGGCGCCGCTGCTCACTATCTGCCTTGTGGTGCTGGCACACTGGGTTCTAGTCCCGGTCGGGGCGCTGGATTCTGTCCCGGTTGCCCCTCTTCCAGGCCAGCCCTCTGCTGTGGCCAGGGAGTGCAGTGGAGGATGGCCCAAGTGCTTGGGCCCTGCACCCCATGGGAGACCAGGAGAAGCACCTGGCTTCTGCCATCGGATCAGCGTGGAGCGCTGGCCACAGCGCACCGGCCGTGGTGGCCATGGAGGGTGAACCAACGGCAAAGGAAGACCTTTCTCTCTGTCTCTCTCTCTCACTGTCCACTCTGCCTGTAAAAAAAAAAAAAAAAAAAAAAAAAAAAATGATGCTGTAAGCCTTACTCTGCCCATTATTAAGTATCTAAGGTGTTCCACACATACTTCTGTTTGCCTTACCTACATTAACTTTCTCACTGCACATAGTATGCTGTGGGCCAGGCACTGGTATGGACAAAGAGGCTGAGGTCCCAAAGCCAACGTGGGCTGCAGTCCAGCGTCTCTGGCTGCTCAGCCACCCTACACTGCAGCCCTTGAGCCTAATGAGTTAACGACTTGTAGCTCCCTGAGGACCTTCACTTTGGCCTTGGTTAAGTCAGGAAATATTTTCATGCGTGTGTATTTAATTCCAAGCCTATCGTATGTTTTCATTAAAGTTTAAGGAGTTCACATTTTTTAGGGCCGTAGTTGTAAAACCTAACTCAAGGCGTAGTGAGAGGAGAGGGGAAGATTTGAGTCACTTGGAATGCTTCGGAGAAGCTCCCTGGGCACTCTCCCAGGAACGCAGCTTTCGCTGAGCGCAGCGACCCTGCATGTTTGGAGAAATTGAGAGATTCTGTGTCTGTGTATGCATGTGCTCTTGTGTCGTCTTGGTCTTCAGCTTGACTCACTTATGGTGGGAAAACACAGCTTGGGAAAGAGGGAAGGGCAGAAGTGAGGGAACACCTCGTGTGTTGCTAAGATCCAGAGTTCTGATGTCCCATGCTAATTTACATGGGATTGCTACTGTTTTCTGTTGAAGGTACATTTTCCTTTATATTTAAATGTATCCCATCTTGAGAATCCTTTTAAGTACAGTGATTAGAGGGAGGAAGTAATACAGACCAGTCCCCCCCCTCCCCGTTTTAACTTTTGGGATAACTTGAATGCTTCTTGGTGCACTCGCACACTTTCTCAAGAGGTGTTTATTAAACACCTGCACGCCAGTCCCTAGGCTCGACCCTGGGGATGTAAGCGAGATCAGAGTCTGAATCCACCCTCCAGTCATTTGGTTTCTGGCGGAGGAACTGTCCTGTCTCTGGTTAGTCCCAGGGCAGTGTGGACAGTGCTACGTCAGCGCAGAGCAAAGTTTTGTAAGGGCGTAAAGCAAGGAGGAGCTCGCTCCTGTGGTGAGGAGCAGACGTTTTAGCTCAGTCTTTTAAATGACCAGTAGTGTTGGGGAGAGGAAGGTGGGCTGGGAGGGCCCAGGACACCACGTGCATAAAAGCCCCGAAAACTGCAAGGATCTCACAGCTAAGATTCCCAAACGCTGCAGCCAGCCTCGTCTACCTGCAAAGGAAATGGCGCCAACACTCACGGGCCCCTGGCCAGCGTCTGGTTGCTGTGGCTGCTGGCGGCTGCTGCTTCTGCCTCTCCCCCACCTCCTCCTCCTCCTCCTTCCTTTTTCTGTCTCCTCCTTCAGTGTTTTCTAGCTAGCTTGATAGATCTGGATTCTAGGTAGACATTTTCCACATCAAGCCTTGCTCATCCCGAGGGAGTAGGAACAAACTGTGCTGCTGTCTCTTATTTATGATTCTGTTCTTTTCCTATGCGTTCTTGTCAAGAAATTCCATTTTTCTGCCCTTCTTTTAGACTATGTGGCCATATTACTGCTGCTCTCAGCTGTTTTGGGAGCCATCTGGATAAGCAGGGCACATGAGTGTGGAAGCTCCTCTGTTTGGTGCCTTAAATTTGCTAGTTTTGGGGTACTGGGATAGAAAGATGCTCACGTTTAATTAAATTGCATTTCTTGGGAAGCTCCTAATGCTGCCTGACGTGGTGTTAAATAGTTTGTGCCTATAAGAGACATTGCAGATGGCTAAGATAAGTATGAAGTGTGTTTTATGTGTTTTGACTTACTGTGGCCTCAATTGCATTATACAAAATCCAGCAGACTCGTCCATCCTCATTAGAGAGATGAGTGATTTTCCTGCTGTAATTCACAGATCCCACGAACAACCTGAGGACAGAATTGACAGGTGCCGACTAATAGAGTTTATTTGATAGTCTCCAGGACTCATAGAAATTTAGTGCCCACCAAATTTACTCTGCAAAGTGTATTTTCAAATCAAGACAATTTTGCTGACACTGGCTACTGCAGCTAAGCACTGAATTTTGATTACTAACCCTGACTGGTAAACCAGATGGACCTACCAAACATGATTGTCTAAGATCTAAGAGCATGTTGCCAAAACATTGTCTGAGTGCACTGCCAAAAATAAATACATGTACACACACACACACACACACACACAGGGCAGTTGAATGCACTGTCCACAGTGCTCTGATTCAGGGAAGATGGAAGACGATTTGGAGATATTTCGTGAGCTTTGTGTGTATTCCAGAAAGATTCACTTGAGTAGACCCAAATACATTATTCTTGGAACACAATAACCCAAATTTGTTGTATAATTCATTCTGTGATTAAATTCTGTAATTTATTTAATAAGCCTAACAGGTAATGTTTAATGAGTAAATTTGGTTTCATGAGTTTAAAAAATTGTGCATCAATGATCCATCAGTATACAGAATAACACTGCCATGTGGATGTGGATTTGGTTTTTCTAATCTTGTCCCCTATCTTCTTGTACGCTTATCTATACACCCTTCCTTCTCACCCTCAACCTCTTTTGGTCCATGGATAGCACTCAGAGAGAAGGTTTATTACACTGAAGATGAGAGTTCTGCTCAACATTATTTAGTCGTTTCTAGAATTCTGCCTGTTGCCGAATGTTGCCATTCTCTGCATGTTTTCCTTCTGGGACTGACCTGCACAGGATTTGGGTTTTTAATACATTCCAGTGGGCATAAGTATATTGGCTAGTAAAGGTTTCCTTAATTGACCTCATTACAATAAAAATAACCCAGTCCCCTTACCAGTCATTTATCTCCTTTTTAAAACCAGAGATTAATAACCTAGTCTTCCTTCCATCACGCTGGTGAGAAATTCTGCCAACAGTGGTTTATGAAAGCAGCTTTGGGATTAGCTCTAGAGAGTGGCTAGAATTATAACAACACTAGATCCTCAATTTTCTTCTAAATTACACTTGGAGATTTTCATAACTTAAGGTAGCAACTTCATATTCTCTGCTCTGTTCATAGCATATGAGGGTGTAGCCATAAATGAAGGTCTGTTCAAATAAAAACTCCTTTTGGATATTTTCTTCTAGCCTGAGGACATGTCCCTGCCTTTCCCCAGCCGCTTTTTCCTGCTACCAGGACTTGGGTGTGGAGTGCACTGAATAAACGTGAATTCTAATGTCAGCTGGAAATCCGCACTACACCGGGCGCTGTGGATGGTCTTCCCAGGGAGGCCTGGCCTGGACTTCAAAAGCTGTTTCCTCAGCCTGACAGGGCAGGGCATGTTCTCCTCGGGCTGGGCAGCCACAGCTCTATCCATGTTCAAGACTGTACCTCCTTTTCTGCCCTTCTCTTCCCAGGAGCTGTTGAGTCCAAGTATGACTGCCAAGAAAGAATCCAGGAAAGCCAGCGCCCCAACGTGCAGCTCTGCCCGTAGCTGCCACACACGCTTTAAAACCCAAAGGAAGTGAGTGGGGAGCAGTAGGCAGAAGGAGCCAACCAGGTGAGCAACCACATCAGTCTGAAGCTAAAGTAGCAGGAAGGGATCCTTGGCAGTTCTGTGGATTTGGCAAGATCTGGACGTGACCTGAGCTTACACTAAATTACCTTGTAGCCAATGTTTTTTTTCTTACCAAACACTGTAAATGGGATGACTCCACTGAGCTCTTGGGCTGAGGACAGATAACTGCTACATCAAAGGCTGCTAATTAGTCTCCAGGTGTGATTGAGATGAAGGAGTGGCCTCTTCTTTCAGGAAAGGGTTAATCCCCCCCACCATACCACCCCCATCTCCGTTTCCCCTCCCCTTGGGAGACTGTCTTTTGTTTCAAGCCAACTGAAGATTTACCCAAGTTTTTCTACATAAAGTCAGTTCACTCTACACAGAGTGTTCAGATTTGGGTCTGTGTAGGCGTGCATCTCCCTAAGAGGTGGCCAAGGCTCTTTTTCCTCTATAAAAATAGAATTTTCACAGTGAAGTCTTTGAGTCCTCATATCTAGAAGCTTCCTTCTAAGTGGAATTAAATCAGACTGCTGTAATTTGGGGAGGGGGCATATTTTGGTAATTAAATCACCAGCTGGGGCTTTATACAAAGTTGTGTCTTGTAATAGGATTTGTCAAGGTTCCATTGTGATTCAAAATGAGTTTTACATTTCTGCCCCTTGCCTTCCTTTCCATTTATGCTAAAAGCCATTACTATGTGGAAAGAAAGTATTTTAATGATAGCAAGATGTCATTTAAAACCTCTTCTGCTCTACTGGTCCTCAAAAAACCATATAGAATATCAAAAAAGGGAGTTTAATCTGGAAAACAACTCTTGGCAGGGTTTCTCAACCTCTATGCCATCACTGTTGGGGCTGGTAATTCAGTATTGTTGAGGGGCTGTCCTGTGCATTCTGCAAGGTTTAGTAGCACCCTGACCTCCATCCCAACAGATGCCAACAGTATCCCATTAGCTCCAACTTGTGACAACAAACGATGTACCATTGGGGGGATAACATTGCCCCCAGTTGAGTAGATTTAACCAAGTAGAAGAAGATAAAGAAAATGGTGAAGATGTAGACTACAAAGCTACTTTGTTTTTTTTTTTAAGATTTTATTAAGCTGTTATAGTTTCAAAGAAAGTAAATCCTAAGGAGAATGGGGTCTGCCAGTGGAATTCCCATTTAGCTGCCAATTCTCTATCTGCTGTTGTCTTGCTGTTTTGTATTGATTTTGATGCCTTCATCAGTTGAAAAGTTCCCAGGTGTTGGTATGATGAAGGGGATGGTGATTCTGGAAACTTTGCAGTGCATGTTTAATGAAGGGGGAGAAGGTTGGGGGCAGAGTAGTTGGAGAAGAAGATTCAAATGAAGCTCATGTAAGACTTTAATAACAGAATGCGTGAGTTGAATGAAGAAACACCCACATTACACTGTAATTCAGCAGTTTTATGAATGGGAGGTCAGATGCATGATTTAAATACAGGTTTCATTGAATTCACTGTCTTAACAGTACTAAAAATTGTCTAGAATACAGCGTGCTTTCTGTTTAGGATTGTAGTTGATTCTGTTTTCACTTGTCTTGCAAATTTACCTGTACCTCTGTAGTAGGATGTTTGAACTGCGAGGCAAGTAGCATCATGTCACCACTGATTTAACATTAGATGTCCTGTTGTCTTTATTTCACATTTTCTTTTTTCCTCCCACCCTGTTCTCTGCACACATGAACGTAAATGCTTGCCAGGCACGTTCTGGCTTTTTTTCTTTTCTCTTTTGCTTATTTTCCATCCCCCCTGCTCTTGTTGTCTTCCCGTTTCTCTGGCTATAGAAAGTGTCAGGTGGCCTTGCTGGCATCATGTCACCTTTTTGAACTATATTTCCCAGGGACTTCCATTTATTATGCTTCGGGCACTCTCTTTAATACTATATCTCTCTGAGGGATAGTTAATGATCTTCGCAGCAAATGAAGGTGAACTGTAGCCACATTATTGTTCTAATACAGCCAACAGTATGGAACAGATTGGACTGAGCTTTGAACAGCTGGGGCTGGCAGAGTGAGTCTTGACTTCTCTCGGAAGAGTTCCAGATCTGCCAAATCATCAAACTCGAAGGGGAAAAAGGGACAAGAAAGGTTACAGGGATAGTGGTTCCTGCAGGTGCTTTGTGCCTTTGTGATCCACCTTTGTGAAATGTTCACGGGTTTGTGGACCTGGCAAAGTATAGTCATTGCTGCAGACGAAACTGCTCAGGAGTCTTTTATTGTGCATGTGTAGGCACGGAACACATGATCAGGTTGATGCTTTGTTGTGAATACCGGGGCCTTCCTGCAGTCTGCTGAAACTATTTGTAGTCTTAAGGACTGTTTTAATGTGCACGGTGTGTGTAACCCTAATGATATAAATTTAGTAATGGCACCGTTGGAACTTTTCAGTGCTGTGTGACTTGCTGGCAGATATAATAAATGAAAACAGATGAGTTAGGGCAGATAAACTGGCAGCCCATTCAGCCCAATCTGTCCTTCAGATGTGTCGTCTTTCCCTTTCGAGGAGGGAGGTGTGTGTGCACACACGTGTGTGCATGTGTGTTGAAATAACTTGCTCCCAGTGTTAAAATCTTCATATAAAAATCTGATTACTTTTTCAAAAGATGCCAGCTAATCAGATTTCTCTGGAGCTGTGGTCTCCCAGGTAAATACCAGCTGAGGCTGAGTGACAGCTGCCCCTGCCTTTGGGAGGTTGGAGTGGGGGATCAGGGGCAGAGGCTTTGCCAGTCTAGAGCTTTTGTCCCCTTCCTCACGATTCCTTCACCAGATTGGCCTCCATATACATTCAGAGAACAGACGCAGGCTTTAGGATTGAGAAGAACTGGGTTTGAATCTTAGGCTCACAGCTAGCTCTATCAGTTTGGGCAAGTTCCTCACTTGCTCTTCCAAGTCTTGATTTCTTTATATGAAAATAGGAATACTTCTTCATCTCGTAGGGTTGCTGGAAAAGTATTAAGTGGGGTAGCTTATTCAGCATTTCTAAAATAGAGCTATGTATATAACACACACACACACACACACATTCACTGTTAACTGTTTGCCCTTGCTATCTACCATGGATGAATGTCTAACGACACTTTAGTGTCATATTGCCCATGTTCTAAAATATGATGACTCTTATCCCTCAGGATAAATGAAAAGAATTCTGCCTGGACTCCTTGTTTCCATTTTTGTCTTGCAAAATACAGTGCATGATATCTCTAAGGAATAGTCTCATAGCATCTGATATCTTAAAGGTGGAATTATTTGAATAGAAAAAAATCTTATGATTTAATTCATGTGGACTCAGTTTTTTTTTGGGGGGGGGTCAGGGTTTTGTGATTTTGGAGTTAAACTCATGACATCTTTGGCACCCCATCCCAGTCTCACTTGAAGTAAGGTTGTCTTCAGAATCCTTGTAGGAGAAAAGCTACTGAAATGAGAGCCCGGCATACATTAGCGTATTTCTTCAGGATGTGAGTTAAATTTCCTTTTCCTTAGGCGTGCAGTGCTGCACTGAAGGTTTTTCTGTACTTTGTGCTCACAGATTCTTTAGAATTTCAAAGGATTTTTTTCTACATTATTATGTTAAGTTGGCATCTATTCTCTCTCCAGGGTCTGACCTTTGACCTCTGACAGAAAGTTCCAGCACACCTTTGGGTACCACACCAAATGGGGACGGGGACTTCCTGGTTATTATACACCTGGGTAAAAATAGTTTTTTTCTACTTTTCTACTTCCCCCAAAGATGAGTTTTCTTTAGATGTGAATATTTCATGTAAATGCATGTACTTGTCTCAGATGGTCAAAGATAACAGTGTAGTATTTTTTGCTTATACTTCAAAGGGTGACTCAAGCTCTTGGGCATTCCAGTGAAATAAAATTTTTTTTTAAATGCTTAGAAAATAGTCAGATTCTGTGGCCAATGGGGGGAAAAAAAGATAGACAAGGTTAAAAGTGATTTGTGATTAGATCACTTATCAAACATCGAATCAAGCACTGCAGGTAATCAATCAGGATTTCAAGTGTTGTCCTAAGCCCACTTTGAGTAAACAACCACCAGCCTGATGGCAGGGGACCCTGGAAGAGAATACGGGAGAGAAGAAGACTTTGTTTTTAGAGCCATGATTTTTTTAGAATTTTATGAATGGGGAAATAGGTCTGCCTCTTAACCTTCAATTGTGCCGATACCCAGATCTTTAGGGTGCCAAAGCTCCAATGTAGGGTTTTTAACCTTAGCTGACGTAAGTATTTGTTTAGAAAATAAGAAGTATATGTAAAAGGGTGAAAAGTTACACACATAGGCATGATTTATTGCAACCTGTTCTTAGTTAGGGTAGAATGAACCTTGTTGAAAGTTGTGGAATGTGCTCGGATAGGCACTTTCCCCCTTTTTCTGGGTCAGAATGATTTCATGAATATTGTTATAGTTTGAGCAAGGGGAAAATTTGCTTGGTCAGGGAAAATGGAAAGCCTCTGAGAAGGCCTGAGGCAGAGAAAACCATGGTGCTGTGGTTGTGGTGGTCACGGGGTGTGTGAGGGAGACAGACTCTCTGGGTGTTGGTTCTGGGTGAAAGACACAGATGCTTCCTTTGCTCGCTTCTCTCCTGGTTTCCAAAGCCTCTCTTTTGGTTGCTTTATTTTTAGGTCCACTGCCTTTTTGGCCCAGTCAGTGAGGGTGCAGGGGGTCTGCAGGCGTGGGTCCACCTCTGTAACGTGCCGGTCCCTGCGTGGTGTCAAGTGGAAGTACAGAGCACCACAAACTGCTTTGAGCAGAGCCCACTTCCCTTCACCCGCACAGAGTGTGCAGCAGTTACACCGACATCAGTCAAGGGAAACCCGCAGGCTGGGCTCCCACGGTTGGAGCAGGTGTGTGCGCAAGTGTTCTCCGGCAGGCACGCCAACCCAGGCCCACCTCTGCCTTGCCCACAGGCAGTGGGTACCAAGACAATGTGGGCAGAGCTGTGCCAAGCTTGTTGCATCTGCAAGACAGAGTCAAGGCAGCATGGGGTGGCTCAGTGGAACAGGCAGGCCAGAGAGTCCTGAAGTCATCCTGTTTGTCCTTTACTTGTTCCCTTGCTGTGTGCTATGGAGAAGAGTGTTGAGGGCTTTGTTTTCTTTTTGTGGTGCTTTGCAGTGAGAAGATCTCTTGGGTTATTCCTCTAAAATAGTAGACAGGAAAGAACACTAGCATTAGCTGATTTGTGAGATTAAGAGAGAAGATGCAAAGACAAAAATCTGTGTGGCAATGCATGTGCACATATGCATATGTGTACATTGATGCATGTCACATACTTCTGTATATGCATACACAGTTGCCCTCAGAACCTCCCTGTGGATACAGAGTCCAGAGGTGCTCAAGTCCCTCTGTAAAATGATGTGGAATTTGCATAGAAGCTGCACACGTCCTCCTGTGGACTTTGGATCATCTCTAGATGATGGACAGTACCTCATATAGTATAAATGCTGTGCAAATAGCCAATATGCTGCATTGTTTCAGAAATAAGACAGGAAGGAAAAGCCTGTATATGTTCAGTACAGATGCAATTTTTCCCCCAAATATTTTTGACCCAAGGTTAGCTGAATCCACAGATGTAGAACTTGCAAATGCAGAGGACTGATGCCATGTGCATAGATGCACGTGTACATACATGCATGTGTATGTAAATATGTGTGTGCTCACACATGCACACACTCACACATACTAGTTTAGAGCAAAACTCAGTGGGTGATGAGGGAGAGAGACCATATGAATATCTAAGCCATTTTTTAAATGTCTGAAGGTAAGGCCAAAGTGAAAACAAACATGTATCTCACCCTAAGTTGAACAAATTTAATACATATTGAGCTTTAGAAAAATTTCCCCCCAAAGTTTTAGAGCTTTCTGCGTAAAAAAGAGATGTCAACAGTTAACACTAAGACTTCATTATGCTCCTGAATTGTATTTTTACAGTTATTAATTCCCCAGGACCACTGGCATATGCTATTTTTAATGAATATCCACTTTGAGCTGATCCTTTAAATATTGTGCATATTATTTATATTTAAAAATGTGAATCACCCTTTCTCTAAGTAATGTAAAGTAAAACAAGACATACTTTTTTTTTTTTTTGACAGGTAGAGTTATAGACAGTGAGAGAGAGACAGAGAGAAAGGTCTTCCTTCCGTTGGTTCACTCCCCAAATTGCCACCACGGCTGGCGCTGTGCCAATCCGAAGCCAGGAGCCAGGTGCTTCTTCCTGGTCTCCCGTGCAGGTGCAGGGGCCCAAGCACTTGGGCCATCCTCCACTGCCCTCCCAGGCCACAGCAGAGAGCTGGACTGGAAGAGGAGCAGCCAGGACTAGAACCCGGCGCCCATGTGGGATGCCAGTACCCCAGGTGGAGGATTAACCAAGTGAGCCAAGACATACTTTTAAACTCAAATTGGCTAAGTTCAAGATTATAAAACTCAATGTTTCTATGGATATGAACAAAAGCATGCTACTTTGGGGAATTTTTTATATACTATTTGGAGATTATTTTGGAGTCTATAAAATCAAAAGCCAGAAAATGTGCTTACTTACAGTGATAGCAACTCAGCTTCAAGGCAAAATTTTCCTAACACTATGACCAAATATGTAAAAAAAAAATAATAGCTACAGGAATGCTTTATCACAATCATTTTTAAAAAATGTTTAGTTATTCTCATCTACTTGAAATGCAGGTAATGAAGGAGGGAGGGATAGAGAGAGATCTTCATCTGCTAGTTGGTTCACTTCTCGTGTGCTGGCAACAGCAAGGGCTGGGCCAGGTGAATGCCAGGAGCCCAGAATTCCATTCAGGCGTTCCGTGTGGGTGGCAGGGGCCCAAACACTTGAACCGTCATCTGTTGCTTCCCAGGATGCATTAGCAGGAAGCTGGATAGGAAGTAGAGGAGCTGACACTCAAATTGGCACCTGATAAGGGATGCAGGTGTTGCAACCAGCACCTTAATCCACAATGCCTGTCTCTATGATCAAATACATTATATACTACATAACTATTTACATTATAGTTATAAATATGCAGTAAAATCTTAAACAAGGCATTAAAACTGTGGTGTAGATTTTCCTATGATCCTACTTTTTTCATGTACATAAAGCTTTCATGTATGTATCAGCATTGCAAATAGATTGGAAGATTATATATAAGCCTCACCATTGTTATTACTGGGCGATTTGAGAATAATTAAATGTCTTTACTTTGCCTACTATTGTTAGGTTTATAATGCTCATATTTATTTTCTGCATGTTAAATACAGGAAAGGGCAAACATGGGGGTAGCATTTAAAGAGTGTACTCATGGGACTGGCAGAGGGTTAAGCTGCTGCCTTCGACACTGGCATCCCATATGGGCGCCGGAACAAGTCAGAGCTGCTCTACTTGCAATCCAGCTCCCTGCTAATGTGCCTAGGAAAGCAGCCAAGGATGGCCTGAGTACCTGGGCCCCTGCTACCCAAGTGGGAGACCTGGATGAAGCTTCTGGCTTTGGTCTGACTCAGTCCCAGCCAACCCAGCCATTTAAGGAGTAAAACCAACAGATGGAAGAAATCTCTCTCTCCCTCTCTCTCTCTCCTCTCTCCCAGGAATTCCACCTATCAAATAAATGAATAAATAAATAATTTTTAAAAAGAGTTTACTCGTTAGAGTTACCTAGAAATATTTTTTGAAAACAGAGAAAAAAAGCTTTTCTTTTTTAAGAAAGTATTTTTAGGAGACTGCTAAGCAGAAGATGTCAAAAACTATTTGCTGGTTAGTTAATCCTATGAATGTTGTGTGCCTCTGTGTCCCAGGCACCGCACAATGCTCTGTGGCATTGCTCTGTGTCTTGCCATTGACAAATGCTGAGTAGGTTCTGTGTGATAAACTGTGTTAATGATGGGTTACTATCAGAGAGATGGTAATACTACTACTGGGGACATACTTTTAATATGAGCATTTTTCACTATGTGTTTTATCTGCTCTGTACTGTCTCATGGTTAAACTTTCACCATCGTGTTCCTGTCTGGAAAACCAGCAGCAAATATGGAAATCATTGGGAAAACTTGAAACCACTAATGAAAAATTTAAGGAATACTGAGAAGCTTATCTGCAAGTGCTTTGAAAAAGCTGACCTTTGCTTATTTGGGGGTGGTTTGACTTTGAAACTGAATCTTGGTTTAATGTTCAGCAGGTGTGCTTTGGCGGGGTTAGAAGAGGATTTGAGAGCTGGAGAGCGATGTGATGAATTCGCTGTCTGCTGTTTTGCAGTGTTGAGACTGTGGAGGTATAAATAGGAGGTTTGGATTAGGGATGTCTGATGGTGGAAGCAGCAGAGTTCAGGCTGCCGTGGACATACTTGGGTAGCAGTTTAAATGTTTTTTTTTTTTTTTCTGAGAACCCAAGAATCCACATGAAGGGCAGCCATCAGATGTCCAGCCTCTGTCTCCCTAACATGATCTTAGAAGTGAACCCTGTACATGACCTCTCAACACTGCTGCCTTGCATTGCTGGTGTGAGATGAAGATTTAAAAAAAAAGTCTAGTTTAAGCCACCCAGGGCTCCAAAGGAGAGAAGTTTTTCATGAGTTCAGTTATAAAAATAGCAAAGTTTCTTGAGAGGAAGGATTTATTTTGGATTAGTGCCAAGTTGCCTTTCCTCTGTGTGTGTGTGTGTGTGTGTGTGTGTCTGGGGAATGGTTATGCCTTCTTC